CAGATTCATCGTACAGTGATCCCACTCTGTCTTTGTCTGAGATGTGTGACTAATCCCGCCATAATACAACACATCGACAGATCCCCCACTGTGTTATATCCCTCAGGTCACAAAAGCTAGTTATCCTCATTAATTAAACCACTATAGAATATATCAGACCGGCAAGGCCTCTGATACGCCGCACGTGAATCAAATCTCGCATCTTCTCACTGCAACTCTCCAGGGATCTCGCCAATGTGTCATGGTAGTGTTGAGCGCGCGTGCGCCGATCGTAAATATTTTCGTGGCTAACGATGGCGCGGGGGTTGAGCGCAGAGTATATATATATACAACATCAGCAGATGTTTGTGGTGCCACATAACAACTTGAGTCAATTGAATTAGGATAGTTATTCTAAACCCTCGCATTTTGGGGCTATATTATTTCAAAAGTGTGTGGAAGGCCAAGAGGCGAAAGTGCAAAGAAGTGTTTCTTGCCGATGATGTCAACTTAATGATTGTTCGATGTTCGATGTTGTTGATTCTTATACAACATTTGCAAACACCAAAAAAAACCTAAACCTACCAAATTATTATAAAATGCCTTACTTGACTGTCAGTGAATAATAGTCTCAAGCATCCTGTGAAATCATGGAATCTAAGAAGTGCTACCATTTTAAAGAAAACTGAAATTTTGTACAATACAACGACCATCGTTGGCAAAATCTGACTATTTTTTCAAATGCAGCCCCCATTTTACCAAATTTAGTCCACATTTTGTTTGTATAATAACTGTGCATAACTGAACAACATCAGCTTACGGTTAATGAAATTTGACATCATGTCAACACCACTTGCTTGACTGACAAGACGCAATACCTATGAGATCACATCGTCAATTGAAAGTATCAAAAAATAAAGTGAATACAAAATTGAGTCAGTTTTGTTACATACACAGCTTAATTAATCGGGACATTTGGCGTTCCAGAAATTTCAGCTTTGGTTGCGGCTCTGTGTCACTCCTTGGTACTGTCATTTTGTTTGTCTAAACTTAGGCTGAATATAAATGAAAGATTTCTTTTCTACGCCTTAAACGTATTCGTTGCGATTAAAGACCACATAGTACAAATCTGCTGGACTTGTTCTCCTCTAATTCCATTTATGCTACTTTAATATCGAAATGGTACAATTTAGTGTCGTCATTCCTTCACGATTCACAGTCTATTTCTCCGCAATATGTTATTACACCGTTGTGTTATTGTACGCGTCCCGGGCACACTACGCATTAAGTCACCTTGAGGCACCGGCCGCTACACGCCCAGTGCCCCCGTCCCAGCGACGCGCTTCACCGTACAGCTGGGTCCCTCGAGACTCGCTCAGGTCAAACACCGCTTCCTCCGTTCAACGGGATAAAAAATTGAGATTGATCTTAAATTCAGCACCTGCAGATGTGCTCACTGTTCTGTAACAACCACTTATGGCGCGGAGACACGATGGCGAAATAAGGTCTACACTATTGTTTTTTAAGCTTGACGAAAAAGATGACCAAAATGTTATTCAAACCATTTCCTTGCTCCATGCTGTAACATATTCGATGTAATAATGAAGTAATATAAGGTTGTAGGCCTCAAGCCCCATTCAGGAAAATTTGTAACACGGCTGGAAAGTAGTGACAAGATTTTAACCAAGAAAAGAAAAGAAAAGAAACATGTAAGTAGTCATGTCATCAGGCATCAGTATAATCATGGCATCATGTCATTGGTTTTATTGCATTTTTTGCAGGCATTCATGTTTCCTAAAGTGTAACTGCAGGGATCGGAAATGGATAACATAACAGATCAAATCAATAGAATATTATACAATAATGTCTCTATCTTCTCTGCCTGTGCAGTCTGCTATACCTACATCGAAGTCAGAGGCTCTGTTTTTTATTCACAAATTGCTATTCGCAAAGTCGTAAATCTCTTCACATGACCTGACTCATGATGTGTCATACTAAATTGCAAAGAAAGAAAACCAATTTAACCATTGCCTGTAGCGCCCTCTTCTGGTCTAAATCAGAGAGGTTTTTTCAGAGAGCACAATGGTGTACAGTTTGTGTTTCCAGCATTTTATCCTTATTAAGTAACGGTATTGAATACTGATTTGTGCGTCAGTCCCTCGACTATTTGTGTTGAGCTGCTTAAATTTAGTCTAAAGATGTTTCAGATCTGAAGGTGGAATATTCTGGATACGACAACAAACGTTGTATTAAAAGTTTGATGTCGTTATCAAAGGCCTAAACAAAGAGTACCGATGTTATTGTAGAATAACGCCGTAGGGTGATTTATTCCACACCTTTTTCATCCTTTGTGACATCAGCAGGATTGCAGTAATGTTAAACACATCTTATCACTCGGTTAGCGTGTCCGTACATTCCGTCGGTTCACCGTGATTTTCTGCCTTTGCTCGTGGGGTCCTGCCCCCGTCGCTTCACACCTTCGACTCGGTGTTTTCTCAAAGTCCGGGCCGTCGACGCGGATCCACTGGCCCGTGGAAAACACCGAGCTGGGGGAAATACCCAACTCTCGGAGGTTTTTAAAGTTGATAAAGCGAGGATTGAGACTTGGAGAGTTTTATATATCGGTGGGAACAGGGATGAAGATGGCCTGAGGCGGAACGGAAGCCTGGGCTCGCGGGGACCGCTAGGGGAAACATCGAGCCAAGGGACTCGCTAGTGTCACGATAGAAAAATGGTCGAAATCAAATTCTCAAGTCATGGATTATCACTAGTATTCTTTTCAAAATATCGCAAGAGATTGATTATGAATCCTGATCACGCGAATAGTTGAGACAAGAAAAAAAACAATTACTGAGTGAATGATTCTATAGCTTCATGTTTCTTCTACATAATAAGCTCGTGTTTTTGTATCTACACTCCTACAAAGGGGTCTCCTAAGAGTCTTTCAGAAAATGTTGTTTCGAAGTTGGTAAAATTTACTCAAATTGTAAAGAATTGAAGTAAGCTTATACCAATTGTCAGGAAGAATGACCTGTTTCACAATGTGTACATACAGTGTAAGTAAACGGTTATAATATTTAAGGGTATTTTTGGGGGATAAAAGGTTGATAAACGAAAGAACACCATTTGGGTGATGTCGTGCGAAACCTTCGATTGGGGTTTAACAAGATAACGTTCAGTCCTTCAACGTGTGTAGAATGAATACGTCGACCTGAGTGCACAAACTGCAAATTGAAGAAATCCAGTAATTGAGTTATGTTTAACAAGTTGACAGATGTTGTACTTTCGTCAGGGACTTTCCAAACACAGTCAACTTTTTTCTCTCTTTTCCTTCGCCCCGTACACCAGTTGTCCTGGCTCATCTGTCATGTCGGCACACACAGCCCCGACGACCCGGCTCCAAGCTGTACTTTCTCCCCGACCAAGAAAATCCGGTCGTAAAACTATTAAGCGATCAGAAATTATCACGAGATAATTTCTCTGCCGGGGTATAGCACGGCCTCGGGTTCGGAGCGCGCGGCAGACCTTGCGGCTGTGCGCGCGCCTTTGGGCCCGTATTGCGGTGCGCAGGCCCCGCTACCCGCTGCTGTCGCTGCGCACTCCATGTAATTCGGTTTTATGGTTAACTTCAATAACTTGTCACTTTGTGTTCTCGGTAATTTGGTAATTTTGACGTCATCAGGTGTCAAATTACGTCACATTAAAGGTGCATTTTCAAAGCCTTCTATCTTAAGTACAAGTCCGATTGGGACGAATCTTTGTAGGTACTTATATAGTACCGTATTATAGATGAACATTTAAGTGATGTCATGATGACGTCATCACAAGTCATGTAACGTCACATTAAAGGGTCACTTTCTAAGGCCTATAACTAGTTTCAATTTGGTTGTAACTTGATAAGTACCTATACCGGGATATCCGAAACAGCTTGTGTTTGTCCCCAAACACATTTCCATTTTGACGAGCATGAACATAACACAACAAGCATCACATCCAGCAACTATAATTACACGAAGCATAAACATAAACACCATGGACATCGTTAATGTTATGATCTGAATTAATGTCCCCAAAATTAGGATTACAAGTTTTGATATCGTTCGTGGTCGTTTGGAATTTTTCAAGGCTGGCCCATTGGCAGTTTCTGCGTGACAACAAGCCACATGTGTGCCGTACGCGTAACATCTGGTTGAAAATTCTAGTCCTCTGAGTGGCTGAAAGTCCCCATATGAAAACTTTTCCGAGGCGCGGATTGGCTGCACGGAAGTCACAGCTGCAAAATGAAAGATAACAAACTGGCATCTCGCCAGGTGTTTCGCGCTTGGAATTGGATCGATTGTTAGCTGCGCGTGTTTTGATTGGCTGGAAGTTGGCGTGCGCTATGCGCGGGATTGGCTGTGATTGGCTACACAACCTGTGAATAATAAACATTTAATAGCTAATCTGGTTGTTTGGGAATTATCTGCAAAGATCAGGGATGTTTGGGATGACACTGCCAATTAAATTTTATGATTAGGTTTAATTTTGCTCAGCTGAGAATGCTTCATAAAATATTATTGTGGAAGCATCTTGTTAAAAATGGCGCATTGTAAAACGTTTAAAAATCACTTTAAATGTGGCAAGTCAATTAAAGGTCTTGGATTCGATTCCCACGGGGTCTCTGGCCACACCTTACCCATGCTGGACGTCGTGATATCATCGCGGAAATCTAAACTGAGAATGTCGGTGAAGTTTTCGACCTTTGGGATTCGCGGCGTGTCCGATATACACGCACATGGAGTTGCAACACTGACATCAAACCCTTACTGACATCAAACTTTTGGTTTGGCCGTAGAGAAGGGACCTACTCTATGGTTTTACGGTGCATTGCGCCCACAGTGCGTGCTAGTCCAACGCGGGGAAACAAAGTACCATAAAATATTATACGGCAACTGCTCCGTGTGTGTTGTGCGCAAGTACAGGAATGGTTGGGCTTGGTTTCGCGTAGTATCAGCTATCATTTACATTCAATCATTATCTGAAACCGTATGCCAGAAACGGTAAATGACACTGTGATGGGTATGAACCGGCTTAGTTCTCTTTGGCGGTGTCGCCGTCAATTTTTTTTTTTTTTTTTTTTTTTACAATTTCCCAGTTGTAGTCTTTGCCACTTTTAGTCTTTTTAGGCAATCCATGAATGATGTCGTTGAAAAAAAGGTATTTTTGTTAAATGTGAAAGTTAAACGGTCTCTTGGATGTGTTCCTTAGTAACAACGCCAAAGAGCTTTTGTTTTGCAAGTAAAGGCTGGCTGTGGCGATTCGTTCAAAGAGCGCACAGATGGCTTTCCTGATATGACGAATTCATCTAACTATCCAGTTTTGCCTCGGACAACCATACTGGACAAATAGTGGGATACATGAATTATTTAGTTTACAAAACTCCGAGGGTCGTTTGGTACAACTTACACAACTGAAAAACATCGGGCTGTTACTACCAATATCAACAGCCTCGCACCTGATCAATCAACGCCTTAACCGGCAGCAGTTATCAAACCTGACATAAATGTTTGATATCTCTTCTCACTGGACATTGAATTGCAGAAAAGTCTGATTGACGGCAGAGCTTGTCAAGGAGCCCCAGACAATAAGACGTCGGATATAATCACGTCCACCAAAGTCCTTACTTCAGAAGGACTAAATGTTGTTGTTTTTTCCTACACCGCCGGATGAGTTTCTTCTTTTCTTGAAGTCTCTCTTTTGTAATTCTCGCGAGAGTTGGCCTTGACGTGTCGTCACCAGGTTTCCCCTTTGATGGCTGCCGCCTTGGTGTGCAATCTCGATCCACAGGGGAATATCAGAGCGATCGGCCCCCTGGTGATGACATTGGCAGCGATATGTAATTACGGGTTGATGTGACCTGTAGCGCCTTCCACTTCCGGTGTAGCCCTGGGAGAGAGGTAGTCAGGGTCGCGGGGGATCCAGAAATGAAAAATACACCCCTCTCATTTTAAGACAAAGACGCTGAATTCTTCGTTTCCAAAAAGGAATAAATATCTACAATGTCGTTTTATAAAACAAAAAATGTGCTTTTAAATCTGCTCCCTTTCTTAGAACTATCTGAAAATTTCACCCGTGATATTTCGATGACGCCATCTCCAGTACTATTTTGCTAGTAACAACCGTGTACAAACAGTTACAGAACACTTTAGATTCAAATTATTCAATCAAATTTTAGAGACTTCAATCGTTTAGATTTGCAACATAGTTAGAGGGACATATAAAAATGCATTCAAAGTTGGATCTCAGAAATGACTGACGCCATTATACTTCCGCATACAGCTATAGGATTGTAACACTCCAACTCGAGACGGTAACAACATAGGCAATGCTGCAAATCTTCAAAATAGCAAGCAGGGTCAGTCAAGAGACTTGAATATACGACGACTTTACAGAATATAATTTGGCTGCAAGTGAGGTACTTTTGTGATCAGCGAGATTTCGAAGACCTACTTTCCGACCAAAGTTTTCCCCGACCGAGATTCGCAATCAAAGCACCGATGATGAGCCTGGGACGCGACACCAAATCCCCGGACAAGCGGAGTCAGTTGGCACACGGGACCAAACCCCCGCCAAGGCCACCAGACGGTCCCGCTCTTCAACAAGATAATCTCGGTATAATATTTTTTTGCTCGGAGTATCGAGTTACAGACATCAGCAGCACGTCTCGGGGAATCTGATCGTGGAGAGTTTGGATGTTTTTGCGGCCGTCATTTCCTCTCCCGCGTCCGCTGCTCGCTTGTGATCACGTTGTTGACTTTTTTCACAATAAGTCCTCGGTTTTCAGTTGTCGTATGGCGCTAATCAGAAGGCGGAACGGAAACCAGACCAGAGGATCTGGAGGATCTGGAGATTATTAATAGCGAGATTTTACCGGGGGAATATTTCATTGTTCAAGAAAACGTTAATAAGGTGCTCGTGTGGTATCTACACAATCTACGCTATCACAGCAGTCAAAATCAATCAAATGGATTTTACTAGACTTTAGTAGTCTGTATACAAATGCATGGCAGAGGAATTGAAAGAAATGTGTGACTGTCTGTGACTGATCAAACTTAAGTTGTTTAATATTTCTCAATCTTAACAAGTAACAGTTGTTTAATAACACTTGTAAGAAGATGAATCAATGTCACCTACCTCTCTTCTACCAATGTCATCCCACCTTGTGTTATGGATTGAGTCTCTGCTGTCCGCTGAGGTACAAGATATCCACGACATGTATCATTTCGTCACATGGTTGAATTCCAGTTTTCGTCTCAATCGTTCATTTTGTTCTGATCATATACCGGTCGCACTGTAACAAATAAAAACACGGTTGTATAGTAACGCCATTAGTGTAACACTTCCATTATATCTTTTGTGGTGCATGTAGTTTGTATTTCGTTATCTTCAGAATGCTATTGGTTATGTCTGTTACCCACCATTTTGGAAGGCACATACAAAAATACCAATGTAGCGCTTGACAAGTGGATACTCCTTTTGTGTTAACCATAAAATGACAAAGGCAATACAATTATCAGAGCAGAACAGAATGTTGACAGACAGCTTGGTAAAGACGACTGACCGAACGGAGCCTTTTGAAAAAAAATTGTGACGAAGGCAGCCAAATGAGACCTCAGATCACTTTATCATTTTCCATGTGCATTTAGAAAGAGCTTACGCAGCTCATTTGTGATGATCATATTGACGTTCCGATTAATATAGACATTGTGTGGCATTTGTCTTGACTGTGCCCGATTAGCTCAATAGCATGTAGCTCAAAAGAAGCTCTGGCAATTTCGACTGATTTCGTTGAGTGCCACCTTGGTATGTTTACCATGCACTAAACGTCACGTCATATTACAATTTTGTTTTTCTTCCTTTTCTCCCTCCAGCCCATGCGTTCTGGCCAGCGGCACAACATGAACGACATGAACGGCATGGTGCACCACCATCCCTCCACACACCCCATGCACCACCATCATCACCACCATCACCACCAGCAGACGGCCGCCATGATGAGATGAAATGCCCGGATGTTGCACATGCGCAGACAGGACTGACTCTCTTTTGATACGAGGGCGCCATTTTGTTTATACTGTACTTCGCACCAATGTTCGAAATGAGGAAAAAAAGCGATGTCCTTGGAGAACCTTTAGAAGGTTCGCAACTACCTTCCCAGTGTCGGACTATTACTTCGCCAAGTTCTTGATTGGACTATTGCGGACACTTTGTCAAAAACAGTACAAATATGTATTTTTTCTCGTTTATGTAAAAATAAGATCCTGTAAAAGAAAAGTTATAGTTACGCATGGGGATTGTTTATAAGAAACTTAGTATTTCTTTTTTGTAAGGATTTTGGTAGAGGAAAATTCCAGGGGATTTAAGTGCAAGAAAAGGTTAAACATTCACGTCGTGTTGCGAGTATTCAGGGAAGTAGACTCAATGAACCACATAGGAAATCATGGTTAACGGTAATATACAACATTTGGTTTTGCTGTAATTTTTAGAAATTGATGGATTTGGTGCTTTGTATTTTATAGCAAAATATTGAACATCAGAGTATGGTGTAGGACTGCCAGCTGTAAATCCGTAGTACAATGTAAGTGTACTAGTTTTCAATCCAACAGTTTGGTAAACTTAAAAATTCCACCTCCGTTAGGATTGGTTGTATTTGATGCAGCACAATGAGCACATATCTGATGCAGCACATCATTATCTTGGTGTAAATTGCAGCCTCCATAAATTCGCAATCCACCACTCACAATACCCATGTTGCTTTCGCAATGACCTTCTCAACCCTGCTCGATTTTGCCAAGCTAAATACGTCTTGAGTTGACGTCTCATATCTGTACTGAAGTCGAATGTCCTTGGTCCTGCCCCAGTACTGTTTCCTATATCCAGAGGAAAACTCAAGGGAAAGAATTGTCAACGTACACCGGATATCCACAAGGATTGATAACACACACAAAAGTGGATCATTTTTTGGTATACACATAAGCAACGTTTGGAAAGCACATGATAAATATGGCATGGTTTCCTGTTGTCCTGTTACATTGCCAATTTTGCACTAGAAGAGCCACTGGTGGAACCTTATCTCTCATAGAACAGTGATGACGTGTATTCCTCCGATGATGGAAGATTGTACACTAAGGACGAGGGGTCACTAGCTGAGGTCACCGGAGTACTTCCGGGGTCAGGCAAAATAGTGGATTTTAATACTCCCGGGAATAGATTCTTGTTTTTGAAACGTTTGTTATATTGCTTTCATAAGCAAAAGTGAGATATGATTTTATTATAAGCATTTCGCTGTAGTAAAAAAAACCCAAGTTTTTGATCCACCGATGAGTATTATGCAGAATTATGGCTATAATGGTAACATGAATTTAACCTGTAGCATTTTGGTATGAACTTATGATTCCACAATGACCGTATAAACTGTGTTGTGCTTGGCAAGTAATACTAAATTACACTTCTTGGTGCGTATGTTTATCAAGACGACTATTGGAAAACAGGGTGAAGGACGTTTGGCAGTTCATTTGTCGGGATGAATTGAAACAGTTTTTATAATTAAAGTCTTGTAACTAAATCTGCCCACGGTTTGGTTAATATTGACATTATACTTTATATAGTTCACAATACTTAAAGGGAATATACAACATTTGCAAACATCGAAAAATAAAACTACCAAGTTTTTACGAAATATCTTACTAGGATGTTGGTAAATGACAGTCTTAAGCATCCTGTAAAATTTTTGCACCTGGTGTGAAGTCATTTTCAAGAAAATGGTGTTTTTGTATACATTTCCAGGGGTGGTCAGCCGACCACCGTTGGAAAAACCTACATATTTTTCAACTTCTACTCCAAATTTACCATTTTTGTTCAGTCAAAATTTTGTTTGCTATTGGTTACATGTTCATGAACGGGTGCAGGCCAGCTAAACTGGTTCCCTTACCTGACAATTTCCGGCATCTGAAAATTGATCCATTTTATGTTTAGTAGAGTCTGGGGACCAGACTACTTGAACACTTTTGTTTCTCTTGGTTTTTCCAGCATTTTTAAACACAAAACTTCAAACATGTCAGTGTAACAATATTTGATCTATTATACTAACCCCTCAAACAGTTCATTTCTGAAAATTACAGCAAAAGCCTATGATGTACATTCCCTTTAACGCATGAACAAACGTCTGTACCAATGCATATCCTGGCAATACAAATACACTGCTCTCTGAAATGGCTGCCGTGCAAAAGGTCTATAGAACATTCACGGGTCAGTGGTCTGTACTGTGCGAAGTACGCCTGGGTAAGCCAATCCGACAAACATTGTACTTTTAATTGGTGTCCCATGAAATAATTCAGTTATTCTGTCCATACTGTAAATTAAAAAGATGCCTTCGTTCTCAAATTGCAAAGTATCAGTTCGCAGCAACTGATCCGAATTCAGCTGCTAGACAAAACGGCGCATTTCTACCCGTGTCAGTTTTTATGAAACGCTTGATAAACGTAGCAAGTTATAATATGTTTCCAAATGAGAGTATTGTACCTTTGAACAAGATGCGTTAACTTATAAAAATATCGATGGTAGTTGTACGGTACTTTTTTTTCCAACATTCAGCAGACGCTCAAGTAGTATTAATCATAATGTAGCAATGTTTGATTTATAGTTGTCATTCTTTAAACACAACTCGTTGGATTGCGGCCAAGCCCCCTCACTATGACGAGTATCTCGATGACATACGCGTATGCTATACAGTGCATTCAGTTTAAAATCCTGATCGGTTACATGAAGCAAATGGTCTGACCATATGCCCCGATGGAAAACGCAGGTTTGCTTGAGAGAGAGAATAGCAGCTGATAGAAAGATCAAACGTGCGAGAGTCTGAAGAAAGGGAAAAAAATCATATTTTTAAAGTCAATAGTGAAGTTTATTTTCCAGACTTTTGGGTTCCTTGTGGAGTTGTTACCTGTGGGGATTGGGTTTTTTGGTTTAATATTCGGGAGGCTTGTAGAGGTCATGTTTCTTAATTCGTATATGTCTCGTTCTAAATATTGGTTGTCATTAAGTGCAACTGGGGCAACTTTACTAAAATAACATTCATATTAGCCTTATTTTTAAAACACAATAACAATCAACTTGTAACCATAAACAAATTTGCAGAGGAACATCGCATTTCAAGATATCGATGTACCTTTTCTTACTGAGGGGTTTGCTATTAATGTAATTACAGAGTAAATTGACAGCAAATAAAATGGAACAATTGGAATAAAGAACTTAAGAGCCTTATGTTCGAGAAAAGTACTTTAAAACAAATAATACCTTTGTACTATAGGTAAAAAACCTTATATGGACTATGAATATGTACGATTCATTTCAATTCTAACTTTTTTTTTGGTTTACTCTCATAGACTCGTATTAAATTGCTTCAGAGTTCTTGGTTTCTCCCAGTTGGTAGTGCAGTCCTATTGTATAAGGTCGCGATTTCGTTAGGGTTCGTCATCTTTCATCAGCAGAATGTTTGTGGGAAGCATTACCATGGCTCATATACTGCGATGTAGTTTGTGTTTCCACAATAAGCCTCTGTTTTATATATGAAAAAAGGATACAACAGTCCTTTCTGAAAAGGTGAACTTTATTCTTAAGAGAAAATTCAGTATGTGACCGTGTGACACGGGCTGAAATCTAGAACCTCCGAGACCAAGTGCTGTTCAATCCGAGGTTAATTCTTTTTCAAAGGGTTGTACGGTTTTTTGTCCCAATTAAGAATGGGATACAAAAAGCACTAAATGTACTGTATTATAACTTTATAATATTTAGTAATGACTATTATTTAATTAGTCCGACACAGATTGACATTTTCTTCACTGTTTGTATTTGAGAGTTTCAAGTTTGTCCTTTTGTACTTTGTAAAATACTTTAATACGGATATTCTTCGACATAAGTTTTCGATGAATCACTAATTAAAAAGGCATTAACAATGATGTAAATGTTTCAAAATTTAAGTACTCGGCTTTCTCTTGTTTGTATAAATACCAAGTAAATGAATTACATTTTCTTATCTGCTGATCGATGGATTCTGTGGCAGATATTTTGAAATCCTAAAACGTAATGAATTTAAGGCGGGGCACTTTTAACAGTAACTTTTTGTACACTTATAAGTCGGCTGCTGTTTGTCGCACAACATGTTTTCAGAGGGAAGAATAACTTTCTGTGTACTGTTTTGTTTACCCGGTTGAAATACATACATGTAGCATTGCTATTAACTCTCACAGTGTGTGTGTGTTGTGTATCTGTTTCTTTTACAAAATGTTGAAAGCTTGAATGATTCACGTGCTAGCCAACAAGACCAGACCAGCCTTGTAAATTTGGTCTTAGAACCCACAGAATTCTACTCAATTGATTCAAGAATGGTTATTCACTTGGGGACTTTTTACGCACCTGTCACGGGGTAATCCTATAAGATAGCACTGCCCGGCCCACAATTGACAGTCAGTCGGTCAGTGAGATGGGTGCATAGACGACACGTTACTGGACGACACAGGCTAGACCAGACAAGCCTCGTAAATTTGGTCTCAGAGCCCACAGAATTATATTCAATTTATTCAAGAATGGCTATTCACTGGGGGAGTTCTCACGGGGTAATCCTATACGATAGCACTGCCCGGTCCATGTGAGATGGGTGCACTGCAAAGACGACACGTGGCTGTCTCACTGGGACCAGCAGAAACAACAACAAACATCCACAGCAACAACACAATTCGTAAACTGCAAATGCCATCAGTCCTTAATCTTCATCACTCATAATCGTTTCACTTAATCCGCTTAATCTTCACAAAATATAATACTGCTATGCTTACTGAAGCTCCGCCCCAATCTCTTTTCTGATGAAAGGGAAAATAAGAACATGTGCAGCATTTCCTAGTCCCTAAACACAGTTAAACATGCGAACAAAAAGCGCTTATGTAAGAAGAACTTTGGAAGTAACCATAATTTTCTTCATTTTCCCTTGTGGACAACATTTTACAAAAGTCATGTGGATCGCAGCAAGGGGAGGGAACCTATTTCCTGGAGACGAAGCGTTTAGGGTCTGAGATTTGAAGATTGAACAACTCCAGGATTTGTCGGGGTCTTGTACCGATCAACAGGGCAACACTGAGCATGCGCATCAAGTCGGCCAGCCCGCCAAATGACTTCAAAATGGCTTCAAAACATCGTTTGGTAATCATTATGAAATCTAAATCTTGGACCTGAAATCGTTTGACCTAATTTGGCGGGAATTGATCGAAAGAAAAAAAACCTATTGAGATGGAAACCACGTGTTGGTTGCCGCTGACAACTCCATCGCCGATTGGCTGTGACGGGCGGCACGAGCACAAAGCTGAGGGGTGACCTTTCTTAAAATTTTAACCAGCAAAGGCCGGAGGGGCAAACGGTTTTTATCAAATTAACCCCCTGACTAAAAATACTCTCGCCCGATGTATGGAAATCATTTTGAAGAAGATGGCTATCACCTCGTTACGTCGTGTAAGTTTCAATATTATTTTTTTAAAACAGCTCTTTTGTACAAGTATGTGTTCACTAATTATCGTTAATAAATTGCAAAATGGTGAGCTCTCAAGGGCGGCCTCATGACAATCGAAAGTCAGTGGGAAGACACAGGTCGATCTGAGCGAAACTATTTCTGTAACTTTTTTTTTACTGTAATCAGACTGAAAAATACTCAACAGATTTGGAGATAACCCAGATACCATAACGCTGAATGCAAAAATGATCTTTGACCTTTTACTATGAACTTTGACCTACACTAGATTGAAACTTGATTAGATTAAGATGGGTTGAATGCTCCTAAAATAGCATTTTTTAAATATTTTTTTTTACTTTTAAGTAGGTTTCAAGAGGATACGATACAAGGATGGGTTGGATTTAATACCCTGATAGTGTTAAACTAAGGGTTTGTATAAACGAAGATTGCATAGTGGATAGTCCGATGCAAGAAGAAGATGTCCAAATGTAGTCTTCACATTCCAACATTTTGAAACACTTTCCGAATGCAGACAACAACACAAATACCGAAGGGCTTTTCCTCAGTCATCACCTTTAGCCAATGAAACAATTTGTCTAGGAGCGATGATCATTTACAAATTCTCCCTAAGCTCCGTTTTCACAACCCCAGCAGGTGTACAGAGCAAAATAACCAATCAAAATGGCGCCGCCCATTTAGATACATTTTACTCGCGAAATCCTTTCTCCCCAGCACGCGGGTCCCAGTAATCTTTCGGTAATATTATTTTGTTAGGGCGATTCTCCGGCAATTTCTAGACGGCACGTGAAGAAAAAGAAATCCCGCGTGTAGCCCTCCGGCTAGCGATCATCAGCGGGGCTTAAGCCCGCACTTGATACCGTCCCAGGCCGCGAGTAACACGGCGGGGCGAACAGGTGACGGCGCGGTCGGCTGGGTGTCGACGGACAACCCTCCCAGCTAGAGCAGGCTCGGGCTATCGCTTTTCGCGCCTCCGATGCGGAGATATTTCACGGTGTGCGAAATAAAACAAGGCCGGATGCGAAACACGAGAATGTAGTCTTGGAGTTCTATTTTTGTGGTCATAACTACCCGAGAATGACGGGTGAGAGTGATGAAGTTGATGCTTGGGCTGCCTCCGTGAACTCTTCTGAACTCTGTTGGATTGAAATAATTTAGCATCCGAGCTTTACTGCACGTACTCT